TCATCACTAACCAGGACGACAAATGTAATGCTAAGATAACTACAACCATGCGCATTACTTACTATTTGCCATCCATCGCGAGTTTTCTATACACTCCCACACATGTCCATGGGGCTCGCAACATCATGCGATCAACCACATGAATAATACATACATAAGATGACAGAAAAGTTCATGTTCTTCATATAAACTTACACTCCTGCGCAATCAGCATGAACACCACCACACTACAACACCGTAATGACCACTTGGTACAATTGTTTAAAAACAACGCATCTTTCAGCGAAAAATCTTGCTTTGTATGGCAATGCATCTCAACATCATTAGGCAATAAGGAAAGAGTCTTTATTCGAAAACATTAGAAAAAGTCATTGGCACATAAAACTGCGAAGGTCCCTCGTTTGTTACGGGGGTGGCATAACACATCAACAATCCTAATACATAGATTTCGGTATCTACCTAACCTATCCATATCCTCCATACCACCCATGCCATCCACCATTACACATGGTCATCTAAGGACATTCCACGCTATCACGACAACGCGAAAGTTAGATGATAATCCATTTCGACCTAACATGAGCCTCCATAAGAAGTCTCACACCTTTCTTTCATTAGCACATCTTATACTTGAGAACCCCCACCATATCAGTTTGTTTAACACTAATATTGAACACCCATTCTCCAACTTCCAGCTTCGCACAACTCAAGTGACATGGATAATCCACATGTTGTCTCAGTGAAACAAGAACACCCATAAACACACACTACCCCACATTATAGCTCACCTTACGACGCACGATGACACATTCTTGGATCCAAAAGCTAGTGTCACACATATTTCCACACAAGCAATTTCCACTGCAGTAACAAGGACAGCCATCCCCCATACACACGACAACCGACCTATAAACCCATTCCCTGGATTCCCACCTCGAAAGCAAACACAGATCCTACACTATATACTAACTTTTTTTGGGTTCTATCTTCCTAGAACCATAATACTGAAATATAAATGTAAATCTATGTTATGAGAAGCATATATTATATACGCCATACTTTCACTATCATCAGAAGACTTTATAAATTGTAAAATATTGATGAATACTAACAAATTACTCCCTTCAAATTACATTGGATAAATGTTTACTTTATATTCTGGGCTTAAATTTATTTCACTGTAAAATAAGGATTTTTAAAATAAACTACTAAAGGATAAATTAGATTAATTTAGGCAATAACACTCCCCTTTCAATCATAACTGGTATCGAATTTAGTCATGTTTATCTATTGGTGGTGACTTGAGTGGTTTTCCCCTCTCAATGTTGGAATTAATTGGCATTCTAATAGAGTAGAGGGAAACCATTAAGGAAGTGATTAAGCCAGAAGGCTCCACCCACCACGCGCTCCACACCCACACATCTTATCCAGTATGAACCATAGAGGATTCGGCCACCCGTTCCGAAGCACCACTGATGGTGGGCATTCCATCACCCATCCATCATCCTTCACCCACCCCATCCCATCTCCCATCCATCCCACCGCATCCCATCCACATCCTTCAACCACCCCATCCATCCAATACACACCCATCCATCCACGCCATTCCATCCATGCCTTCCACCATCATCTATCCCCACCCTCCACCCAGCAGTATGACAGACACCGTGGTCCATGTGGGTGACACCACCCCTCCCCAGGGTGCGGGGACGGCCCTGGCAGCATGGAACATGTCCCAGGAAACAGCATGTCCTGTTGACTGCCAACCGTCAAAGCAACGAGACTCGGGAACAGAGCCACAAGCCCAGTGTGAGCTCAGAGCTTGCCGGTGGCCGGCCGCACAGCAGGGGCGCCGGGCGAGCGGGGCTGGCATTTCCAAAGTGGGGGCTGTGGTGTCACCAGCGCGGGCACAGACGGGCACGGCCTGGCGGGTGACACCGATATTCCCTGCGGAGCGGGGCCAGGCGTGGGGCCATGGTGACTGATCGCCCAGTGGCTGCAGGTGCACGTTCCCAGGGAAGGCCAGCCGGGCCTGCTCCCGCAGGAGCGGGGCTCCCAGGGCCCGTCTCTGCCCGCGTGGTCTTGATCACGCGCGGGAAACAGGCGGAAGGCGCAGCTGCGTGACTCGGGCCCTGCAGCCGCGGGCCTCGGCCTTCAGAGTGACTGAACGTTCCCAGAGCTCCAGGTCGGGATTGGTTACGTCTGACTTATTTAATTTCATGGATTCTTGCTCTTGGCTTTATTAAGAAAATGCTCGTTGGCCGGGCGCGGTGGCCCACGCCTGTCATCCCCGCACTCTGGGAGGCTGAGGCGGGAGGATCGCTCGAGGTCAGGAGTTCGAGACCGCCTGAGCAAGAGCGAGACCCCGTCTCTACATATAAATAAAAAAAAAAATAGGGCAGTGAAGGATGGATGGATGGGTGAAGGATGGATGGATGGGTGAAGGATGGATGGATGGGTGAAGGATGGATGGATGGGTGAAGGATGGATGGATGGATGGGTGGGTGGGTGAAGGATGGATGGATGGATGGGTGGGTGGGTGAAGGATGGATGGATGGGTGGATGGATGGATGGGTGGATGGATGGATGGGTGGTGGATGGATGGGTGGGTGAAGGATGGATGGATGGGAGGATGGATGGATGGGTGGATGGATG